CAAGCCAAGTAAGCACTATTTTAAATATCTAGTTTTAGCCATTTAGATAATGAAGAAAAAAAAAAGGAGAGAAAAAAACATTTGGTTTCATATGATTCTTTTTCCTTTGTTTCAAAGTGAACAGTATGTTTTGTTGTTGCACAGAGAAATGGCTGTGTACTTGGTAGCATGTTTTGCATTAAACATCAGAATAATTTTTAAAACTCAAAAGGCAGAAGGATTTTGGCAGAGTTCCAGCATTATTTCACGTCCATCCATCTTAATAGTGTTGTGGTTCCTGTCATAGTGTCGGGGTGGGGTGGGGGGCTCAGCAGAGGGGACGGATGTTCAACTGGCTCAGCGAGGTGCCATATGTCAAACAGAGAGGAAAAGACCAGGACTTTGTAATCTGTATACTCTATGAAAGACTATTATACAATGGATTTGGAGTTGGCTGTCATAAAACTAACTCTAAATCTACAGTGTCTAACTTGTTAAGTCCAAATATATCTTTCACATACACTCTGTCAAATATGTCTAAACACCACAAACTGAAAAGGTAAGAAATGTGAGTGTAATAATAGTATCCAGTAATAAGAAGGGTTACCCTGGGGAAAAAGTACATTTATTCTCATTTACAAAATGAAACAGAAAGCATGAATAGAACTGAACTTAAATTGCTTCCCGAAACAAAATGATTTTGACTTTTTTTTGCATTTACCTCATCTAGTATGAAGCTGTATGACCTGTAAATTATTTAAATTCTTGTCTCAGCTTCATCACTCACTCAACCTGGCGAATTATAATGATATAGTGCCAAATCAGTAAGATTGTTGGCACACAGTAAATGAGGAGGATATCTTAGCTATTATTACAGTTATTATATTATCATCATGAGAGAATTGGCCTTTAAGGATGTAGCTGAACCCCTGAAAATAGAAAAATCACTGTTCCTGTTAATATTTATCATTGTCCTACTGTGAGTTTTGAGCGGCTGAATATATGTGAAAATAATATTTGCTAAAAACAAGGCCACTGTCACATGATTTATTTTATGAGGAACTATCCTAAGAAGATTCTCCTTAATTAAAATGAGATTAACAGACTAAACTGATGTGAGTCTTGCCTAGGGAAATTGGAAGAGAGTAATATAAGTATATTGAAGTCTTTTGTGAAAATATAGGATCACGTGCATTAGTGACCATGAATATCTGATTTTCTTCTCTGTGGAGCAGAAGTAAAAATAGATGGTATGAATCTAGGTGACAGAGCAAACTTGGATCACTAGTCTTGGTAATATATTGGAGATTAAGGAGAACTTAATTTCGGAAAAGGAATGAAATTAGTGTGACAAGAGCTAAGAAAAGTCAACCTTTGATTTTTCATTCATTCACTCTGCGATTCATTATGAGCTGGGTATTGTATCCAGTGCTGTGCATACAAAGAGTAAGACATGGCTCTACTCTAGGTGGCTTGTGGGAGGCAGTCAGATAACCAGGAAGGCAGGCACTGTAAGAGAACAGCAGAATCATGTGAAAGGAGCCGTGGTACCTGGGGCAGGGTGACTGAATCAGCCAGGAGAGGTGAAGGGCTCTATTGTTTATCAGATTTTGTGACCTTACCTCTCAAAGGCCACACTTTTAGGAATTAATTTTAAGGTAACAACTATCCTCAATAAAGCTGTTTAAACGATAATTATTTTCATCTTGTAACTTTCTGCCATGTTATTTTTCTTTTGTACTTTCAATTTCCTAAAAAATAACAGTGAAAGTCCTTAAAATACTTCAGAGAGATCCCTCCCCCGCACCCTGGGACAAGGACAGGAGGTAAGAGGAGCAGCCGCTGCCAGTTTGTCAGTGGATTCTGGAGGAGGGAGCCCCAGGTGGAAGGCTCCTGGCAGCAAAGAGGGGAAGGAGGCAGGCCAGTTCCTGAAGAGCACAGAAGGAACGAGACAAGAGGAGACCCGCTCCGGTCTCTGGCTAGTTCCTAATATTCTCCTTCCCTCTCAGCCCCTGCTCTCCTCTTCTCACACCCCCTTTCCCATCCTTCCCAGTATACCCTCCCATTTCCCTAGAAACCCTAGAGAAGTTTGCTTCTGGGTAAGGAAAAGGTCTGCTTTGAAGTTGGTCGGTAATGTCACTGGGTGACCCTCTCTCAGAGATACAGCCATTTTTAGAAGGAAAGTCAGGAACAACAAAAGTCTTCCAGACTTAGAGACTGCCTGTTCAGTGGCAGAATGAAAAGCGTGGCCATAGGTCACTGGTGTCAAATACTACGTCCGAACACACTGCCAATCATCCTGTGTACACAGCTATGTCCTGTGTCTCCTAAGAGGCTGGCTTGGCTAAAGAACAGGGTACTAGGAGAATGTTTATGGCCTGTGGTAAGCATGCCTGTGTAAAAACTGAGGTCCAGGTGTCTTTTGGGGGAGAAAAGGGGGAAATGCTATTCTTGAGGTACTGTGATTATGGGAAGGCAAGTCTGGTTCCCAGGGATACACCCAAGTGAAGTGGGCTTTGATCTTCATTTCAGACCATTTTCTTGGCAGAATCCACCTGGTTGGATCTGGTGAATTTTAAGGCGCCACCAAAATAACGACCACGTTTCTTTGAATCCAGGTTCTTACTCCTCCTAAGTTTAAGTTGCTGTAATGTCTTTCCTTTTTCATTTTTTACATCATCTCTTTAGAGTCCAGGTTCTTAAGTTATCTCTAAGTTTTATTTTTGATTTTATGTTTTTTCTTAATCTGTTCATATAAAATACAGCAAATAAAGGAAAATCTCTTAAATGTTTCAGGGATTCTATAATAGCAACAGCACATCCTTGATCTACTAGTATAAGGCTCATTCATGGGATAGGTGATAGGAGGTGTTATCAGGTTTCCATACTGGATCTCATTTGGATAAAGAGTTTACAATGATAAGAAATAGAATCCAGCACTCATTTTATTCTTGTTTCTCTTCTTATATTCACTTCTAAGTTGTATTTTCAGGTATTAGTACTTCTTGATAGCTTCTTTCTCACCTTGTCTAAAATGTGAGAACCACCATTGGGAAAATTTGAGTATTAGTAGAACTGCATATACTCACTTGCTATGTCAAAGGGCAGAAAGTGGGAGTATCTTCAGACTGGGGTCTCTACGTGAATGTGTCTCTACATCTCTACAGTGAGATCTCTCCAAGTTGTAGATGTGTTTATAAATCTACTATGATGAGATCAGAGGCCTTCCTATCTGTAGGAAGGAACCCAATAAACATTTCTTCTGAACGTTTGTGTGAACTGTTCCTGACCTCGGCATAGTCCTTAAGCTTAGCATTTATCAATCTTGAATAATTCAGCCATATTATCATAGTTATTTAAAAAACATTTATAGCTCTCATTTTTGAAATGATCTCCCCAATATTTCTAAACAAAAGTGAAAAATCTGACCCTGTTAGTTTAAGTCCCATATATTTCATCAAATCCCCCTTCCTTATTATTAAGTGTTCCTGTTTTTCTATTTATAGAGTAGGTCTAAATTATTTTTTTTACCTTCAACTCCTTATGAATCCTCTAGCAAGACTCCAGGAGTTAGCAGGAAATTATATTTCTCTTTTTACATTTTCCATTGTTAAACTTATAACAAATAAGTCCCCTAAAGACTTGAGTGGCAAGCCTGAAAGCTGCCATGCTTTTGCTAAGGGGACAGGATAGAAATGCCATTACAGAAATTCCATGGCCTGGTTCCATCCTGCTACCTGTCATGTGGAACCACCGCCTCTTTACCTGCCCTGCTCAGTTACCATAGTGATTACCCAAAGCAGTACATCAGATCTGAAGTCTGTACAGTCTAAGCATAAAGTCTATCACGCTGGACTGCTTGCTTTAAAATTGTTTACTTCAACTTGAGAATTTCTCAAAATATAAGTATCATAGAAACAATAATATATACTGGTCAAGCTGAGCACAAAGAATTCTGTTACCACTCTAGGTTGCAAAGTGACAGCTGGTGACTTTTTAAGTCAGTGGCATAAAAACATTAGCTTGGCTGGATCATCTCCAGTACCGGGCTTGAATATTCCCACCATTGGCCAGACAATAAAACTGAGAACACTCTTCTGAGAATCTTAAAGTGTGATTGCTAAAAGGTCAAGTTAGTAATTTTCCTTTTTAATATTCAAAACCAGTAGTGAAAGTGGAGGCGTTGATAGAATATCTAGACCAGGGGCTATTAACAAGAGCTCCTTTGAAATTTTAGGCTGATAATGTAATTCAGGGGAGTTTTTATATTTCACAAGGCTGCCACATATGCCTTGGAAAAGAAACCTTAGCTGAATACCTAAGTACCCACTCTGCCACTACCGTGCTGAGAGGCACTGGACAAGTGACAATCTCTTTGTGCTTCAGTTCCTTCATCCATAAAATGAGAGATTTGGAAGAACAGTCTTTAAGATCTGAGGCAGCTCTGAAATTCTCTGATTCCACGAGGGGAAATTATAAGATAACGGGGCTGAGTTTCAATGGTGGTGTGTGAATAGCATCACTGTTTTATGTGGCACGTTACCGACCAGTCCATTTAATACAAATCATAGCTACTTTCACCGGGCTGGTCAAGAAACCCTTTGTAGTCTCTCACTGTTTGCTGTAGGGTCTTGTCACTTCACCTCAGAAACACTGTCTTAGGCCATTTGCAAAGAAGAGAGTTAAAAACATCCTTCCTCTTCATGCTTCATTGAGTCACTTCACAGGCATGACATCACGCAACACTTTCAAGAGTCCATAGCTCCTAGAAAGCGTGGGATGCGTTAACTAAAAGGTCAGGACATAAAATACAATCGTACTCCTTTCCCTAGGGCACTGTTTTACTCTCTAGCCTTTTCCACCGCATTTAAACTTTATGTTAAACACAGAGAGACTGTATTGAAATAAGTATCTGACCAAGAAAAAAGACGCAGTAGGTTACTCAAGAAAATCATTTGCAGTGAAGACCAAGAAGGGCCAAGCGGAGCGTGTATCAGTAACCGGCACTCGGAAGCACTCACGGGTCGAAGGCCGCCAGCAGGAAGTTCAGCAGCAGGCCGATGGACTGCTCCACGTGGATCTGGTGCGTGGTCGGCATCCGTTTGTTGAGCTGGTAAAAGATGGTGGAGAGCACGGCCTCCAGGCGAGCCACGCTGAGCTCTATGCTCGGGTCCAGGTTGTTGAGGGCGTTCTCCCGCAAGGCCTCTATGACGTTCCAGATGTCCACCAGGTGCACTGCGGAGATTGAAGCAGAAGGGAGAAAAAGGGACATCTGTAATATTTTAAACAATAATAAAATTAAAAATATATTAAAAAAAAAGCAAAAAAAAAAAAAAGCAGAAGGAACGCATCGGCCCGAGGGGAAGGGAAGGCGAGTTGATTATTTTACACGCCCCCCGGGCAAGGCGCCTCACAGGCTTCTCTGTGCTTTGGGCTATTGTAGGGGTGGCCACGTGCACGTACAAAGCGCGTCATTTCAGAGGCTCTGATGTACAGTGGATAGGAGCAAGCAAATGATTACCCCAGCAGATAGTTACTTCTGGTCTAAGGACCCTTGAAACACAGCTATTATCCCTGTATTGCCTGTGAGGAAACAGAATCAGGCAACTGACAAAAACAAAGGAAAAAGTCTAGTTAATGGCAAAACTGGCCTTCAAATCCAAGTCTATCTGGCTTCTTTAAAAAAAAATGACATAAAATTGACATTTAACATTGTGTAACTTGACGGTGCATACTGTGTTGATTTAATAAATTTACATACCGCAATCCTATTACCACCATAATGTTGGCTAACTAACACCTCCATCATGTTCCATAATTATCATTTCCTTTTTTGTGTGTGGTGAGAACACTTAAGATCTAGTTTCTCAGCAACTTTGAAGTAGATACTACTTGTGATTATAGTTAACAAGTCTATCTGGCCTAAAAGCATTTTCCCCGTTGTACATTATTTTCATTTATATATTTTTAGTAGTATAAGGTTTGAAATAAGAAAAAAAGTGGGCAGGGAGACTGGGGGAAAAGGGAAAGTTACTGCTATAATGCAGCAGCAGAACTAAGTCACAGGTCACTTAACTATACTGATCAAGAACAGTTTCTTGGCTACATTACTAACTAGCTCAATTAACTTAAGTCATGGTTACTTTCCTAGGAGAGTCAAGAAATCCATTTCTACTTCTGTTTGCCCAGAGGTCTTGTTATGACATCTCAGAAATCATCACCACGATCAAGATAATGAACACACCCATCACCCCCAAAGTTTCCTCGGGCTCCTTTGTAATCCACCCCAAACCACAGATCTGCTTCTGTCATGATTTTCTAGAATTCTATATAACTGCAACCATCCAGTGTGTACTCTTTTTGGGGGATCTGGGTACTTTTACTTAGTGTAACTATTTTGTGAGTCATCCATGTTGTTGGATGTAGCAATAGTTTGTTCGTTTTTGTTGCGGAATAGTATTCTGTTATATGGATATATCACAATTTGGTTGTCAACTCACCTGTTGACAGACATTTGGGTTGTTCTGGTTTTTGGTGATAAAGAATAAAGTCGCTATCCACAATCACATAGAAATCATTGTATAGACATATGCTTCCATTTCTCTTGGTAAGTACTTAAAAAGGAAGTGGCTACATTGTATGGTAGATGTGTGTTTAATTTTTGAAAAAATTCCAAAGTGTTTTCTAAGTAGTTGTATTATTTTACATTCCTATCAACAGTGTGTGAGAGTTCTAGGTTCTCCACAATTTCAACAAGTTCAGGGTTCACTTTTCATTACACTTTTGCATTAGAAAATAAATGCTGTCTTTGTCAGTGAAGTGCAGGTTTCAGTTCCTGAGAAATGTACACTCCACATACGCGTCTCCACCACCAACTCCCAAGTTTTAGTCTCCTGTACATGTTCGCTAATTTCTGACACTATGTTTAAAAAAACAAAACTAACATCTATTGACCTCCTTGGCTTGGAGTCCAAAGCAGTAGATTTGGATTTGGAAGACTTAGGTTCAAATCTGGCTCTTCTACAAGTACATAACCCTCTGAGCCTCGAAGACTTAGACCCCCACTTTCCTAATTTATGAAGTGGATGAGATGTTCGTTCAATAGGAAATGCATACATTCAAAGCAGTAGTGCCTGGTATACAGACACAATACATTATACATGAATAAATGAACAATGTGTGTCATGTAAAAAAAAATTATTTTAGCATATCTCTGTTTCCCAGCAGAGGAATACAAATCACTTTTCAAATGAATTACTTAAATGTTAAGTTTAGGTAAATTCAGATTTATGGGATTCCAAATTTTCAACCTTCTCTGTGTATCACATAATAAGAAAATTATTTGTATTTTTTAATGTTATTTATCCAATTTTTCAACTTAGCAACCACGGCATTCCCCCAAAATTAGAATTTATAAGTTGAATTTATTTATTCAATTTTTTTTTGAGGAAAAAGCCCTGGGATTCCTACCTTTATTCCCTACATATGTGATGTATAGACCCTCTGGATCTAGTTACTGGGGATATACCAGGGTGCAGGATACAAAAAGAGCAGTGATGAAGAGATCTCGCCTGTTATCCTGATTGGTATCTGTGCCCAGGTTACCATGGAAAGTAGGTTCCTCATCTGGTTCCTGGCTATGGGTCATTGGAGAAGAGGTGTTTGAACTCTGAACCTGAGCATAGGAGGGAGACGGCTACAAGCCAAGAAAGAGAAATGGCTGCTGGGAGAGGAAGGGAATCTGGATGTCTAGGTCTCTCCTCGTGAGTCTTTGTAGGGCATAGGGAGGCTCTCAGGATTCCCAGGGGTGGAACATACTGGTCCACAGAAGTGGCCAAAATGTCCATAGGTGTGTGTAGAAGGATCCCTCAGGCACTTCAGCCTCTGAGTGCCCAGCCTACACTCATCTCCTCTCTGCCAAACCCACTTTCTCTGGGGTTCCCTCCCCTGATGAATGGCCTCAGCCCCTTCATTCTTCCCCTGCTCCAGCTAGAATCTGGGTTTCATTCCTGGGTCCTCACATCTCACATGTTATCAATGACTGAGTCTTATAGACTCTATCTCCAAAATATCACTTTAATTCCTCCATTTCCACAGACCCTTATTCCCATCACCCAATGTTATCACCATTATCTCACTGACTAAGTCAGTTCTTTCATCTTCATTCCACCCTAGTTCTTTCTAAACACTAACCAGGGTGATATTTCTGAACTGCATATCTGACGTGTCACTTGTATGCTGCTTAAAGTCCTTTAAAAACTTCCCATTAAGTTGAAATTTCAACTCTTCAACATGGCTTGCAAATTTCTTTCTGATTTGGCCCCACTTCTCATTTATGTCTCATCCATCAGGCCTTAGTGTCAACACCACTTCTTCAAGGATGTCTTTCTGGATCTTCCACCTCTAGGTTTTATACCCCTCCTATATGCCACCTTAAGACCCTGTTTCTTCCCATTAGTTTGTGGACTCTCTGTGCAGACCAGCTGGTTGTCTGCTTACCCTCTGCACTATATGTGCCATAGGAAGAGACTGTCTGTAGTGATACTGTTCATACCCCCAGCCTCACATATCATAGGAGCTTAATAAATACCTGTTGGCTAAGTAAGCACATGACAGGAAAATGACTCACCAGTGAAAATACATTTGATTGCTAAAGAATTGCAAAAACCTTGGTTTGATTCCTAGGCATATCATATCTGTCATGTTACTTGGCTTCTCTGAGTCTTCATCTTAGAAAAGTGAGGCTGGTAAGAGCATCTACCCTCAGGTGACTACTATGAAGGTTAAATGGGGTGATGCCTGTAAAATGCTTGGAATAGGGCATGTAACATAGGAAATAATAATATGCACAAATAAAATCTCTAAAATTATGTGAAAGTTACTAAAAATAAATATATTCTATATTTGTGTTTCTACACATTTAAAGTCTCAATATAAGGAAATATAAAATGCTAATTATGGGTGTGAGACTAGATAATTATAAATGCCATGTAAAACTAGGTTTCATAATTATGTGCAAGGCACTGTGGTAGGGCTTGGGGACTCAACGGCAAACTACAGATGGGGCTCCTGCCTTAGGGAGCTAACAGTCTGAAGGAGACACAGACATGACTCACAGTCATACAAACATAACCAAAAATTATGACTTCCTGTGATATACAGGGCGATAGGTACAAAACTGGGTTATGTTATGGTTGTGAAGGGGCCAGAGTACAAGATAAGGCTGCAGGAACACTACAGCCATGAGAAAGGATTCAGCTCTTTATGCTGAGAATGTGAAGACACAGATTTTTAAATAGGAGAGTAATATGATCAGAAATGCAGCTTAAAACTATCATTTCGGACTGTAAGGGAAGGAAAGAATGGAGCTGGACAGGCACGCACGTGGAAGTAGCTGCAGCTCATTGCTCCAGGGCAAGGACGAGCCGGCGGTGTTTCTGCACCGGGAGTGGGCAGTACACAGAGAAACGCATCATGCACTTATCTTCCAGCAGTGGCAAAGCACAAGGGGTTCAGAGTTTGCAATCATAAAGGCTGGAATTTCACTCCAGGCTTCGCGAATACCTAAAACTGTGAGCAAGTTATTTCACTCTATACATTTTATTATCCCTTTTTAGAAATGAGGAAACTAATACCATCCTGAGGAAGTTATACAAGTGCCGACCACAGGGCTTGGCACTTAACAGGTGCTCAACAAATGATAGCTATTAGTGTTAAAATAATTAAACACTCTGAACTACAGCCATCCTATGCTATTATTAATTTACAAGAGTTGTGAACCCAAACCTAAATTTTATCCCAGTCCTCCAAATTCAATAAACTAATCAACATATAATTATGAGCATATATTATGTGAGTTCTATAAAAGAAGCACAAACCACATCTCACCCACCAAAGCAGATACTTATTCAGGTTAGTTGTCGTAAATTCTCAGTTAGTGGAGTTTGAATTGGTTTTACTGTATTTGATAATTAGAGACCTGGTGAGGAAGGCCCTCTTTCAAAAAGGTTTCTTGGAAACGTTATTTTATTGGTAACTGCTTTGGGAGGTGCAGATCACAGTGCAGAACCGTGCAGACTCCCAAGCAGTGAGTTGGGTTTCTACTGGTTTCCCCCACTAGCTATGATCTTGAGCAAGTCGCTTAATGTCCTTCCGTAAATTTCAGTTTCTTCATCTGTAAAATGGGGACAATAATAGTTCCTCTATTATTTGGGGATCAAATGAGGTAATCATAC